ATTTTGTTAAAAAAACTATGTATTTTAATATGAGTTAGAGTGTTACAAAAATTGTTAGACTTATTTCAGCTGCATTTTTATTAGATGCCAGCAGGCTGTGCTCAAAATTCATTTGCTTGTTTAAGGTGCTAAAAAAAAAAAAACAACCCTTTACTAATAATATTAAGGTATACAACAAAGTGGGAATTTTAAGTCAAGCTATATTTTAGTAATATGCATGCATTTTTATTTAGAATAAATTGGATTTCTTTTACTAAAAGTAGACCCTGAAAAAGTAAGCATTATTTAACTCAAAACAGAATCTTGTATATATAATAATTCTTGTATTTTTTTCAGTATGAGGAAATAATGGATTATTCAACAAATGGTGTTAGAAAAGTAGTCAAACTATTTGGGAGCTGGAGAGTTGGATCCTTCATTTGCACTTTACCAAATGTAAATACCAGTAGGAAAAAAAGAATTAAATGTAAAAATCAAAACATGAAAACTTGAAGAATAAATATATAGATGGATATATTTATCTGATCTCAGCCTGCTAAATTAAAGAAACACTAGAAATCACAAAGGAATAAAATGTAGATTTGATTTTTTAAAAACCAGTGAAATGCTTTTGTATTTAAAATCATCATTAATAAATGTAAACAAAAAATGAAACTGAAAAGTGTCTTCAACAAACATGATGGACAAAGGGTCAATATCCTTAGTATAAAAAGGTGCTCATATGTAAAACAAAATAAAAGGTAAATGTCTAAATAGAAAAATTGAGCTAAGTATGTAAACTAGAATTTTGCAAAAGTAGAAATAAAAATGACTGAGAAGCATTTGAAAGAACTCAATTTGATGATTAATTCAATTTGATGATTAATTTCCAAATGTTAATTAAGATACCAAGAAACTGTTTTACCTATAAACTGTCAAAGTATGACACATGACAGTACTCAGGCTGGTGAAGACGGAAGTGACACACTAGATAACACTTATGGAAGTGTAACTTTGGTCATATGTATAACAGCCTACAAAAGCTGAGTTTTTGACCCAGTAAATCTGCTTCTAGCACTCTATTGTAAATATGTATATAAAATGATATATATAAAAATATTTATATATATCATTGCACTATTAATAATTTAAAAATTGGAAACTGTTTAATGAGAAGAGTTATACACTCAAGATAGTGTGTAGCTATTAATATTAAAAACCAAAGTTTTGAAATACATTTAATGCTTTTTTAAAGTGAGCAGTTCTTATTATAATTAGAAAAATATTCTTAAAGTAAAACATTAATAAAATTTAATTAAAATTAAAATTAATAATAAAAAAGATTTCAATAAAAATCACAAGAGATCAATATATGGATATCACTTTATGTCTGCTATTTTCATGTGCAAATGCATGTATTAAGTAAAATCTGCAAATGAGAAAAATAATGGCTATAGATATATACAAATATATACATTTTAATGAATATGCTTAATCTCTTTTCTAATACCTGGATATATCTATTATAGAGGAGTACAGATAACTAGTAAATTTCCACTTATATACACTTGCCCTTATAGAGTACAGTTTATCTGTTATTGTTGTTGCTTTTATTTTACTTTAAATTCCAGGATACATGTGCAAAACATTCAAATGTTACATAGGTATACATTTGACATGATGGTTTGCTGCACCTATCAACCTGTCATCTAGGTTTTAAGCCCCACATGCCTTAGGTATTTGTCCTAATGCTCTCCCTCCCCTCGCCCCCCACCCCACAACAGGCCCTGGTGTGTGATGTTCCTCTCCCTGTGTCCATGTGCTCTCATTGTTCAACTCCCACTTGTGAGTGAGAAAATACGGTGTTTGGCTTTCTGTTCCTGTGTTAGTTTGCTGAGAATGATGGCTTCCAGCTTCATTCATGTCCCTGCAAAGGACATGAACTCATTCTTTTTAATGGCTGCATAATACTCCATGGTGTATATGTGCCACGTTTTCTTTATCCAGTCTGTCACTGATGGGCATTTGGGTTGGTTCCAAGCCTTTGCTATTGTAAATAGTGCTGCAATAAACATATGTGTGCATATGTCTTTATAGTAGAATGATTTATAATCCTTTGGGTGTATACCCAGCAATGGGATTGCTGGGTCAAATAGTATTTCTGGTTCTAGATCTTTGAGGAATCGTCACACTGTCTTTTACAATGGTGGAACTAATTTACACTCCCACCAACAGTGTAAAAGCGTTCTTATTTCTCCACATCCTCTCCAGCATCTGTTGTTTCCTGACTTTTTAATAATCGCCATTCTAACTGGCATGAGATGGTATCTCATCATGGTTTTGATTTGCATTTCTCTAATGACCAGTGATAATGAGCTTTTCTTCATATGTCTGTTGGCAGCATAAATGTCTTCTTTTGAGAAGTGTCTGTTCGTATCCTTCGAACACATTTTGATGGGGTTGTTTTTTTCTCATAAATTTGTTTAAATTCCTTGTAGATTCTGGATATTAGACCTTTGTCAGATGGGTATCTTGCAAAAATTTTCTCCCATTCTGTAGGTGGCCTGTTCAATCTGATGATAGTTTCTTTTGCTGTGCAGAAGCTCTTTAGTTTGATTAGATCCCATTTGTCAGTTTTGACTTTTGTTGCCATTGCTTTTAGTGTTTTAGTCATGAAGTCTTTGCCCATGCTTATGTCCTGCATGGTATTGCCTAGATTTTCTTCTAGGGTTTTTATGGGTTTGGGTTTTACATTTAAGTCTTTGAGCCATCTTGAGTTACGTTTTGTGTAAGGTATAAGGAACGGGTCCAGTTTCTGTTTTCTGCATATGGCTAGCCAGTTTTCTCAGCACCATTTATTAAATAGGGAATCCCTTCCCCATTTCTTGTTTTTGTCAGGTTAGT